TGCATACAACTTCATAGAAGACCCCACAATGAAGAAACAGTCAACGTGCAAAGATCCAAGATACTGCAAGAAAAAAATATTGCCTGCCATAGGGACCACAGGGTTAGTTATAGAACAAAAAGGATATATCAACAACATCCTTTGTGAAAGAAATGCAAAAGATTAAAGATCCTACGGTTCAAGAAACAACTACAGGCCTCAGATCATCAACAGGACAACCCAAGTCAATTATGTCTTACCCAACAAACTACCACCCTTCCAAGTCTGAAGAAAACACAGAGGCAACATGGTTTTGTCAAAGGGAAATCATGTTTAACTCATTTACTGGAGTTTTTGAGGAAGTAACTGGTGTTAATAATGGGAAATTGGCAGATATATTGTCCTCAGATTTCAAAAGGCATTTTATGAGGTGCCACTTCAAACGTTATTAAGGAAAATAAAAGCTCATGGTATAGAGGTATCACGCTAATACCGATGAAAGGTTAACTTAAAAGAAAGCGGGGGTAGGAGTAAGTGCATCTTTTTCAGGCTCATAGGATGTGGTGTGTCACGGAGATCAGTGATGGGGCCTTAACTCTACAAATTATGTAAATGATTTGGATGAAGGCATCAAAGGTAACTAAATTTGTTGATGACAAAAAGATAGGTCAGAATGTGAGTTGTGAGAGGACATTAGGAGCCCGCAAAGGGATACAAACAAGCTAAGTGTGTGGGCAAAGATCTGGCAAATACAGGATAATGTGGGAAAGTGTGAAATTGTCCATTTAAGCAAAAATAATTTAAAAAAAGCATATTATCTAAATGGTGAGACGTTGCAGAGATCTGATTGTCTTAGTGCATGCATTGCAGGAGGCGAGTATACAGGTACAGCAAGTAACCAGGAAAGCTAATAGAATGTGTTGATTTATTGCGAGGGGAATTTGAATGCAAGAGTAGGAAGGTTAGGCTTCAGTTATACAGAGCATTAGTGAGACCAGATCTGGAGTATTGTGTACAGTACTGGTCATCGTAGTTACAGAAAGATTTAATGCATTGGAAGCAGTTCAGAGAATGTCCACTGGATTAATACTTGGAATAAGCTGATTGCCTTATGAGGAAAGGCTAGACAGGCCAAGCTTGTAAGCTCTAGATTTTAGAAGGGTCAGAGGTGCCTTAGCTGAAATATATGATGTCCTGAGGGAACTTTATTGAGGAGGTATAGAAAACATGTTCCCTCTTGTGACAGAATGTAGAACTAGGAGTCATAGTTTATAAAAAGGAAACTCAGAATGTTGTGAATCTTTGGAATTCTTTTCCTCAAAAGCAATGGATGCAGAATCTTTAAATATTTTTAAGACAGAGATATAAAAGTTTATCAGGGAAATGCGGAAATGTAGAATTGAGGTTAAAATTGAATCAACCATGATCTCAATGAGTGGTGGAGCAGGCCTGAAGGGCCGAGTGGCCTACTCTAGTTCCTTATTCATATGACTCAAACCAACTTCCCTTCAACCATTAGTTGATTACCAATTAAGCAATGCTTCGATTTAAACATTCCAACCTTTGCCTTCAATCTTTCTATAACCTCTCACTTCCCTGTATTTATAATTTCCTCTCCTCCAAGGTATCAGCATTTCTCCAAATCTGTTCTCGTACATACTCCTGAGTATAATAACTCCATCACTGATGGCCAATCCTACACCTGAGTCTGCCCCAAGCTCTGGAATTCCCTCATTAGATCCTCTCTCCTCCTCCATGTTCTTTCTTTTCTCCATAAGATGCTCCTTAAGAACCTAGTTCCTTGACCAGTTTCAACCTTTAATTTCTCCTTACGTGGCTAGGTGTCAAATTCTGTTTAAAATACTCTTATGGAGTGAATTAGGATGTTGCATTATATTGAAGGGGCTGTATAAATACAAGTTGTTTTTGGTTCAATGTATCACTTTACTGTGTGGGTGAGTATTATTGTCGAATTCTAGAACAATGCATTGAGTATAGGAGTTGGGATGTCTTGTTGCAGCTGTACAGGACATTAGTTAGGCCACTTTTGGAATACTGCATGGAATTCTGGTCTCCTTGCAATAGGAAGAACGTCGTTAAATTTGAAAGGGTGCACAAAAGATTTACAAGGACGTTGCCGGGGTTGGAGGGTTTGAGCTGTGGGCAGAGGGTGCATAGGCTGGGGCTATTTTCCCTGGAGTGTCGGAGGGTGAAGGGTCACCTTATAGAGGTTTATAAAATGATGAGAGGCATGGATCGGGTGAATAGCCAAAGTCTTTTACCCATGGTAAGGGATTCCAAAACAAAAGGGCATAGGTTTAAGGTGAGAGGGGAAAGATTTAAAAGGGACATAAGGGGCACCTTTTTCACGCAGAGGGTGATGCGTGTATGGAATGAGCTGCCAGAGGATGTGGTGGAGGCTGGTACAATTACAACATTTGGATGGATATATGAATAGGAAGCGTTTAGAGAGATATGGGTCAAATGTTGGCAAATGAGATTGGATTAATTTAAGATATCTGGTCAGCATGGGTGAGTTGGACTGAAGGGTCTGTCTGCTGTACATCTCTATGACTCTAGAACTCTGGACATAATGTCTGGTTAATCCACAGGCTGTAGGACATCAGACTGGAGAATATACAAACATTAATACACAGGCTGAAATCTGCATTACATAATCAAAATGTTGGAATGTTGTCACAGAATGTTTCAACCTGGAATTCCACTCACCCCTTAATGTATTGCAATCTATACAATATATATAAATGGATTCATTCATTACAAGAGATTTTACCAGCAACATGTACCTGGGGAAACAGTTTGAGATAAGCTTTTGTAGTTATATCACATGACTTGATAAGATTTATTCCAATGCAGGCTGCAGTGATGCAATTATCACAAGAGACGAGGTACTGGGCAGAGATTAAAACATCAATGCAGCATGAGAGTGGGCTTTTTGAATAATTCATACATTCTGGGCTGTTTATAAAACATAGCATTGCTGATGTGTGTGGGTGCCAAAGTATTTCTGATGCAGACAGAATTCCTAGCTCTCCAGATTAAAACAGGAGAAAGACAAATTCTCAGAAAATTTCATCTGTACATGCTTTTTTCCTAAATTCTGTTTTGTCATTAATGCCAGTGTTTAGTTGCGCTCTGTCTCCAGTCTCAGATTAATTCACTGTGCTAGTTGTGGTACAATGTGTATCACAGTCTCCCCTGGAATCAGCAGGTCGTCGGTCTAGAATTCCATGTCTTGACCTGAGCTGAGACTCCAGTATAGTATTAGGAAAGTGAAGACGTCATTTTTCAGATGAGAGGTTAAACCCAGAACTCATCTGCTCACTCAGGTAGGGGTAATAAATATTTGAACAGAAACCATAGAGTCCCTACAGTGTGGAAGCAGGCCATTTGGCCCATTCAGTCCACACTGACCCTCTGAATAATATTCTATCCAGACCCTATAGTGACCTATACTTTGGTGTATGGGGCACAAGTTCAAAACATGCACGTCATATGAAACTTGGAAGCATTGTGACCTATGACAACAAATCGCATGGAACTTCAAAAGGGCGTAGATAAGCTGGTGGCAACTGAACTCCAATGTACAGAAGTGTGAAATGATTTATTTTGGTAGGAAGAATGTGGAGAAATAAATTCTAAAGAGGGTTGTTAGAGAGGGATCTGGGTGTATATGTGCATAAGTCATTGAAAGTGGCTGTACAGGTTGAGGGAGTGTCCTAATATCATAGACTTTATTAATATTTGCAAAGAATACAAGAACAAAGATGTTAAACTTCAATTAAAAACTGGAGGATTCTATTTACTTCAGGACACCAGATTTTACTGAAGATGTAAAGGAGTTGGAGGGAGTGCAGAAAACATTCACAAAAATGGTTCCAGGGATAAGAATCTTTGGTACATAGATATATTAGAGAATTAGGACTGTTTCCCTTGGAGAGGCTAAGGTTGAGAGGAGGTTTGATAAAGGTGTGCAAATCATGTGTCTGGATAGAAAAAGAGAGGGAGAAGCTGTTCGCATTGGATTGAGAAAGTGAGGGCACGATTGAAAGCAATTGGCAAAAGTAGCAGTGGAGACATACAGAGCTTTCCTTTGTGCAGTGAATGATTAGAAACTGGGATGCACTGCCTGAGAGCGTGGTGAAGGCTGGTTCAATCTAGACATTCAAGAGAGAATTGGATTACTCTCTGTAAAGGACAGAAGTATTAGGGGAAAGCAGGGGTGTGATGATGGATGGATTGCTGCATCAGAGGGCTGGCACTAATATAATGGGCTGGATGGCCTCCTTTTACAGTTACAACATTTAAAAGGCATCTGGACGGGCATATGAATAGGAAGGGTTTAGAGGGCTATGAGCCAAAAGCTGGCAAATGGGACTAGATTAATTTAGGATATCTGGTCAGCATGGACAAGTTGGACCTGTACGTCTCTGTGCCTCTATGACTGTTGTGTGATTCTGTGGCATCTCAGTACCACTGTAGGATCCCAGTTCCCTTTAACCATAAGTCTGAGTGCAAATCTGTATGGAAGCTAGCGAGAATAGTGATTGACAGCTGCCAAAGACTGAGTCAAACCCTCTTCCCTTGCAACTTTTGTTGCTTACTGAACCACACTGCAGTGTCTTTGCAAACCTTCCCAGAGTCCTCGACAAGAAGGAGTGGAGGGACTCTAAAAGACAAGAGGAATTCCCACCTGGAGAGGCAGCCTCTGAAATCACAAACCGGATTCACTTGTGGCAGTGCCTCAGGCTGGAGGGGAGAAAGTATGAGTCAGCCTTCCTGGGGATAGCGTTCAGCTGTGAGGATCTTAGAAAGAGAGAGAGGGAGAGAGAGAGGTGGAGGGGGTGAGGGGGGAGGGGCAGAGAAGAGGAGGAGGGCTGTTTCTCAATCCGAGCTGCGCTAGCATCCTGCTCCTTCACCAATGCTGGTATGTTGCCGGCTGCCAGAGCTCGCTGCTGCAATCCACTCACTGCACTTTCTGCTCGCCTCTGCTGTAGGGGCTTCGGTCTCATGTGACTACCATTCAGGAAATTCCTGGCAAACACGCTTACAACCAGTCAGAGCAGAGGAAGACGGAGAGCCCCTTTTTTTAAAAAAAAAATTACAACAGCAAAGATAAAGGAATTTTGTATCTTGGATCCGTTTGAGAGAAAAACAAAACCCACTGGGAAGTATCAGTCTGCATTAGCTGCTTGAACACAGGTAAGTGTCACTATGCCCGCATCCCTGCAGAAATCAGGCAACATTCTCCGCTGTTCTGGCTGACCCAGACCCGTGTTAAGGAAGAAATGCCTTAAAACTGGCTTGGCAAAAAAAAAAATCACCTTGCTAGCTTCTGTCAGCATGCAGACAAGAGCAGCTTGAATTTCTGAAAGAAGTGTTTTCAGTGTTGGGAGCATCTGACAACAATATGTCACCCTGACCATAACGTGCAATCTCCAGCAGTCTGTCTCTAAGGTATAGGTTTTGCCTTGTATTGGAAGTACAGTGCGAGCAATATTGACAGGCACAAAGCAGGGTGTATGTTTAAATTGGACTTGACTGTCCATTCGACCTCTTTGGCACGCCAATTAATTGCTGCTCAGAGTTTGTAGTGAACAGGATCCTGTGGGCAATTATTGCATTATATGGACCCGTTCGGTTGTATTTTTGAATTGTTCCTCTTCCAGATCTGAAGTGACTGATTTGCAGAGCGGGCCTGTGCTTTCAGAGATCTGCATTAACCCCTTGGTTGCTAAAAAAACTTTTCAACATTCAGCACTGACAGAGGACAACCGGATAGCTCAAATGAAGGCAGGCATGAGCGGGGACATGGGTTATATAGAAGATAGTACGTAGCCAACAATGTTATAAAGAGCAGATGGTCAGTGTTGTAGTCAATGTTGTTTGACGAACCGATATTAGCCAGAAGACATAGGTAACTGCTGTTTGATTAGTGCAGGGCTATAAGGAGAAAGTTGGGGGGGGGGGGTGGGGTGGGGGGTACTCCAGGTGATTTGCTCTGTTGGATGCCAGACCGACTGACCTCCTCTTGTGCTGCAACAAATCTGCAAGTATGTACCACGTCACTGTTGTTGTAGGAACACAAGCGGTGCAAAACTCCTCTTTAACCATAGGTCCGACCACAAATCTGCACGGAAACGGCAGGAATAGTGATTGACAGCTATCAAAGGTCGACTCAATCCGTCCCCTCATCTGATACTGCACTTTTGCTGCTAACTGTTTCACACTGCTGTGTATTTCCAAACCACCACACAACCCGCACCCACTCCTTTACCCATCCCTAGGCCCTTCCCATAAAAATGGGTGAAGGGACTTAAAAGATAAGGCTCTGAGAGGGTCTCAATTAAGCACGAAACAAGAATTTTTTTTATTGAAGATCGGCAGGATCCCTGGTGAAATTTCGGGACGATTACGTAATGAGTTATATGAAAAAATAAGGCCTGCCATAAGTTACATTGATGATGTGCTGTAGTAGAGAGCATATTACATAGAACATAACCAGTGGTTGAAGCCTGAGACTGAAAGATAACCAGATGGGTTAGAAGGCAAGCAAATGTAGGAAAGGTGATAAACTTTTCGCAGTGAGTTACAGATAGCGAATAAGAGGCACTTGCCACATGACAAAGATACTGCCATCAGCTGTACATGCCCCACAGTTATATGGTCAGTAACAGGCACTTGATAGTGAATTAAATAGTGGGTAATAAAAACATGGCAGTGGCAAATAATAATTTTGGCAATGAATTGAATCACGGGCAATAAATCCATTGTGGTGAACTAAATACAAGGTCATAGTCAAAACCTGGCAGTAAATTATGTAGACAGCTAATAGCATAAATTGAAACACCGGCAACAGACTGTACAGTTGCAGATGTTACAACCCTGTCCAAAGAAAAGGAGACAGGGATAAACCTGGTGAGTACAGGTTAATCAATGCTGGGAATTTGACAAAGGACCATTTCCAGGCAGATTTGAATGGATGGGAGAATGAATTATATCGAGATAAATGAACATTTGGCAATGAGTTTCAAAGAGGATAATGTTGAGTTATAAAGAGGGTAGCAACAGCTCACTGTCACTTACAATGCAGGAGCTCAATATAATGACACTGGTGATGTTAAGTGTGGAATTCTGGCTCTGAGAACATGTTTTTCAACAGTGAGGGGTTATTATTCAACAATCTGCCAAACTCCCTTTAATGTGTTTGGACCAAGAATCCCAGAGGCAGCAGTGAACAGGAATAAGTGAAGAGATGTGCTGTTCATTACTTTGTTGGTAAACAGCCACGTGAAGCGGCTGTTGGTTGGGAAACTGGCAGCCCCTAATGTAAAATACATTTTAATCCCAAACAGCAAAATGAATGAAAGAAATTCCCAGTGAAAAATCAGACTTTTGTTCCATCTGGATTGGTCAGATTTGAACATTTTTCTCACAGTAAAATTGACTACAACACAGTAAAACACTTCAGCAGCTTCCTCACATGCTCTGTTTAAAATCAGTGCAATGCACCCAGCAAAAGCTGGGCATACGTGTCATTCTGTCCCTGTAAAACTAGTCGCCAGGAATCTGTTGCAACTGACTGCTTGCAGTGTTAGCTTTTATTTTAAATGGGTTAAAATAGCGAAGAGTCCTCAAGCCTGTTTTTATCAGAAGTTGAAACATCATTAACAGTTCTGATTTGTTACAAAAAGATTAAACAGCTCCCTCTGATGGCTTAGTGAGTAAATACAAAAAGGGATGTAATCACTGAACCATTCAGATCTGGAGTAATAGTAAGTGAAGAGCTAGCACAGAGAAAGCGCAGAATGAAGGCAATTGTACCCTTTACCATTCACCAAAGATCCTCAGATAGAACCTTCCAAACCCATGATCACTTCCATCTAGAAGGACAAAGGCAGCAGACATACGGGAACACCACCACCTTCAAGTGCCCCACCAAGCCACTCACCATCCTGACTTGGAAATATATCGCCATTACTTCACTGTCACTGGTTCAAAATCCTGGAATTCCCTCCCTAAGGGCATTATAGGTCAACCTAAAGAATGGTGGAAATGGCCACCAGAGCCTTGGAACCAGAGGAAAGAGGTAAAAGCCTGGTATGAAGCCCAGTGACTGGAAACCACTACGCCCGCTCAGTACTCCAAACACAGAGGTGGGGAAATAGCCCGAGTGAAGCTTAGCAATGGTGGGGACCAGCTAGCATGGGCTTCAGGGCACATCTAGGCACCGAACCTTAGGACAGGAATAAACATCCAACAGTGGAGAAAGGGCAGGAGAAGGCCCCATGGCAGGGCCCAAGGTTAGCAGCAGGAAGAAATCACTAGGCTGCAGTGAACACTAAGTTTCCACATGCCAGGTGCCCCTGGAAGATAGCTGTGAGAGAGGACACCCACGCAGCATGAGGAAAAAGGCGAGAAAGATAGGAATAATTCAGTTGCCACTGCAAATACCTGGATAGTGCAAAAAGCTTTCCCTCACTTGACCCTCTCAGTCCAGACTGTGTATCAGGTAAATTAGTGGTAACGGTTCAGCAGATATCATGTTGCAGCAGCAGGTCTCAAGAAGAAGCCAGACAAGGGACAAAGGTGTATCGCATGTGATCAGCAACAGTGCAGACACCATTCTTTACTGAACAAGGTATTGTAGGAGAAACTGTATCAAGCAACTATGTCATTAAAGCACTCACCACCTGTTAGAATTTGGGAAGAAATACCATGTTAGACCTGTCAAAAAAGTTAATAATGTAAGCAAGGAGAAATAAAAACATAAGAAGAAGGAGCAGGAGCAGGCAGTTCTGCTCAGTCATTGACTATGATCATGACGGATCTCATCTTGGCCTCAACTCCACTTTTCTGTTCAATCCCCATAACCTTTTGTAGTTTATAACGAGGTCGGCCAGGCGGACCTCATAGAATATGAGTTCCCTGATTGGGGCTGTTAACCTGTTCCTGTCAGGGAGCCCCGGCTGACAGATATAACCAGGAGTGTCAGACATCCTGTTCACTCTGAGAGTTGGCTCTGAGGAAGCTGGATCAGTGTCAGTTACTACATACGTGTAAATAAAGGGTGACTTAGTGATAGGATACTGGCTATGAGGAGATATTTCACCTTTAACCTGAGACCAATTAAAAATCTCCGTCTCCTCCTCAAATTTATTCAGTGTCCCATCACCCATCACTTGCTGAGGTAATGACTTTCACAGATTCATGACCCTTTGAGAGAAGCAATTCATCCTCATCTCTCTTTTATGCCGCCCCTCCGCCTAAAACTATGACCTCCCATTCTAGATTGCCTCGCAAGAAGAAACATCCATTCTATATCTACTCTGTCAATCTCATTTGTATCTTATAAACCTCAGTTAGATCTCCATTCATTCTTCTAAACTCTAAGGAGTATCGGCGTAAACTGCTCAATCTCTCCTCATTTGCTATTTTATCTCTGGAATTAGTCTGTGAATTAATAACATGCATTCTTCTTGGCTAAGAGATAGACTGCAAGATGACTTTTGGCACCAGAGATTAAAGAAATGGCAGACAATTAATTTTAAATTGGATTCTGGAGCAGATGTATGGATCATTTCAGATGCTTTGGTTGAGACTAGGAATCCACATTGAGACTTGGGAAATGTAAGAATCAAAGTAGGAAGCCAGATGCACGCTATATTTTGCCACAGTGAAAAGGAGATCACAGGGACCTTATGCATAATTCCGAATTGTTATAGTTATTTATTAAATGAAGCTGCCTGTGTAGTTTAGATATCCTTTGGTTGGCAAACACCAAAGACATCACAGTCCCAGCATTGCAGGAGGCAAAGGTAGAAGCTTACCTTTCACCATTTCTCTCAAAACAGAAACTGGAAATGGAAGGGAAAGAAAGGGATGGCCAGGACCCAAGGGAATTCCAAATGATTGTGTTCTTTTTCAGGATTTAGTTACAGAGAATGAAACCAGCACACAGGATATTCATTTATTTGAAATTGAAATTTCAGATGTTCCTGTACTTGCAGAGTCAGGGGACACAGCTTCTAATTGCCCAATGATCTCTTTCAATGGGAACCAGTCCTTCCTTGAAGAAGGTAAAGAATAAATAAAATGATCTACTCATTCCACAGAACCTGTCAGGCAATGCAACAATATCAACAGTAGTCTCTGTGAATTACTGAAGTTCCTCCCAGGGGTTAGATAGCCAGATCATCCCT